AGGACTCTATCTTAGAGCCACCACATGCATTATGCATTGAATTGTCTAAGTGCCTCTCACTGGATTTCTGTCTATACACAGACATGCACCAGTCTGAGTCTGTTTCGGAGATGGCTGGGGCTGGCAGAGTCCTTCTTCTCACAGAGGTCACCCCTGCAGCCTCCCAAAACCTACCACTACCAAAACGTTGCAATGCAATTGTTCAATGAAAGTTTTTCTCATTCTTAAAGAAAAAAAATTTTTTTTTCTCTATTTGCTGTGTGTTTGGAATATTTACAAAATTAAGTGTTAGTTCTCTCAAAACATTGATACTTCTGAGTGGTAGTGGGTGAAATTCTTGTACACTGAGGCACATTAGGAAGTCTTTCAGCTGGTTTATACGTCTGTAAGGGAAGTTTTTAGAAAGTACTGATGTGGCCTTGTACATGGAAGCTGTATGACTGAGTGGGATAAATATTAAAGGAATTTTTTATGTAAATACAGCAGAAATTCATTATTTTAAAGAAAAATAGATTAGAAAATGAGTGTGGAATTACTTGTATGTCGTTAGTATGACACAGTATAGATTTCCAATTACAATTTAATTGGGCTAATATATGTATGTAGTGCTGGACAATATATGGAGTAGTTACAATTCTGGAAAGCTTTCTGGAGAAATGAAATGTGTGTCTTATTTCAGTCCTTCCTCAGAAGGAATGTGGCTCTCTTCTGTACCTGCTAGTCCTTGATTAATTCATTACTGATCCTTTTTCTTTTGAATATTTGAGAAATATTTTTGAGACATCTTTGTATATCACTTTTTTCCCAATGGCATTTCCTGAAACATCTGTAGATGGTTCTACTCAACCACATGTGTCTTGGGCCATGGTACTTTCACAGCCCCCAAGGAAAATTGTGTCATCACCAGCATCTGAAGGTCGTTCTGGAGACAAAGGGAAGCACGATACTGAAGCAAAGGTACTTGAGACTTGTCTGCTTTAAACTAATTTCTGTCACTGTGTGATTGTGTCTCTTGATGTGAGACAATGCCATTTTTTTCCTAGGCTCTGTACAGTGTCCACTCCTTAATGTAGCTTTTAAGAATTACTATTAAGTTACCTTGTCATTATTAGAATTTTTCTTCTCTTTTAGTGGAAAAGAATAACAGCAAGTCAAAAAGGCAGTGCTACTCCAGCAACACGAACTTCCAAAATAGCTGATTTGAATATATTACTTTTAGGCTGGACTTTTTTCAAATTCCTGACCCTCAGAATGAGACATGAAACATGGAACTCTTGCCTTATTTGGGTGGATATTTCCTACTGAAATCTCAGTAGTCCTGATACATTCTGATAACCATGCAATGTGCTTCAAATGAAGAGTTTTTGCAGTCGCTCTGAATTTCTAAAAGATCTTGATTTTTCCTTGTCCACTTAATGTCCTAGCCTGGGTTGATAAAGATACCCTTTAGTTGTGTAAGTGTGGTCACTTGCATTTATTTTGGTAGGTGGTATTGAAATAAATGAGTTTCTAATGGTCACACCTTGTGATTTTTTTCAGCAGTCAGAAACAAAAAATGATGCTAGTGAAACTGAGCCTGAGGAAGGGTCAGAAAAGAAGAAAAAAAAGAAGAAAAAGAAGAAAAAAACTAAGTCACCCACTGCTGTAGAGAAACCTCAAAATGAATCTGCTACAGTACAGGAACCACCAAGGATTGAGGTACAGTGAAGAGGTTTTTTTTGTTGTTCTTTTAAGTGTTACGAGTGTATTGGAAGACCAGATGTTAACACAGCTTCGTACAAATCTAAGTTCAAATCCTGTTTGTAGAGGATATTGGGCCAGGTGCATTTCAGTAGAGATGTTTGTTACAAGTTACTGGTAGGGAACAGTTGTGCCTTTTCCCTTACCACATATTCGAGGAGCACAAAGTGCTGAAGAGACTTAGGGCAAATTTGGAATGAAGCATCTGACAGTCTAAATGTTAACAGATAACAATTAAAGTCAGATTTCCTAAATTAAAAATATTCTGTAGTATCTGTTGCAGAAAGCAAAGTGCACAAGGAACAGGGAATATACTGGGTACCATAGTGTGTGTTGGTTTTAAAGAATGTGGTACTGGTATTACAATTCTGCCCATCTCGCATTTGGAAGCAATCTCTGTGGAACACAGTTGTCACTGCTTACGTTCCTGATTGCTGATTCCAGTTTTTTTGCAAGTTCACATAGCTGTGATATGCATATTAGTATTTTGAGGCTTCTGTGTATCAGTATCATGAAGGCTTTAGACTCTCCCACATTAGAGGGTTGTTGTATGGTCGACGGTTTAACAGTGCTTCATTGGAATCCCAATTCGTTGAAAGTGCTATGTACATGTATTGATTTACATGTTTAATCTAGTGTACATAATGTTCAGTCTGTGAAATGGCAGCATAAAGAAGTCTTCCTGTCTGGCTTCTGTTCTGTACATTTGAACATGGAACATGGAGCGGAATTGTGGCTGCGTGTTGTTTTCATTGTGTGGTTCATTGTCCTGGAACAGCACAAGAAATTACTGTTTACAGACCTCTTTTTTTAGAGAATTATGGGTAGAAGCAAAGATCTGCAGGTTCTTTCCCTCATGAGAACATCCCTATTTTTACTATATGCTACCATACAATGTCTGATATGTGAATGACTTAACATCTAAACAGAAAGAGAATAGCAGGAGTCATGGGAAGTACTAGGAAGGTAGTGGGACTATTGAAGACAAAAGTAGAAAAAAATGGCATAGAATCATGGAACAGGACATACGCATTTCACTGAAATCCATGACATGGATGCAGTATCTGTTGTGGCAGTGGGGGACAGCTTTCAGAGCCTCCTGGTTTGCTGGCAATGCTTGTCTGCTCATCAGTTTGAAAAACGGGTGAGCTTGTATGATGCTCTTGAAATAGAAGAGCATGAAAGAGTCATACACCTGTAACTTCAAGGCACTCAGAAGATTTAAGAAGGTTCTGCTATGTGCAGCAGTTTACTAGAGCAATATATTGGATCGCTTACTAGTTTTATAAAAGTCCCTTATTTATTGACACTGTTAATGAGCATAGATGGATGCATTTGAGAAAAATAATCCTGTTTTTCCATACACAGGGGTAGGCCCTGAGCTAGTTATTTTCTCCAAAGGGGGAGAAATTGAAGCTGCTATTGATAATCAGGTCAACGCTGGTAGTACTGGTCAAACATGCAAATAGTGCTGGGAATTGTTAGGAAAATAGAAAAGAAAATGGATTATGACAATACATAAATCCAGGACTTGTCCTATCTAAATATAGTGTGGATTTTGTTTTCTTGTGTTTCCCCCACTCCTTAAAAAAATATACATAGTTGAACTAAAAAAGATAGACAAAATGCTCCAAAGTTAATCAAAGGTATGAAGCAATTTTTGTGGGAGGCAAGACTGAATAAACTAGGACTTCTTAGTCTGTAAAATAGATGGCTAAGTGGGAATCAGAAGTGACAAGGAAATAAAAATGAAATTATTTGATCTTTCTCCTAATTTTGTTTGATGTCCTCTGGTTCTTATAGGTGATGAGTTAAGAACAAATATAAGGAGGTGTAACGTCACACCGAGTGCTGGATTTTAATTATTCATTGTGCTACAGTATGTTGCAAATGTCAGAAATTTATTTGAATTCAGGAAGTGATTGGACAGACAGAAATAAAAATTTATTCTAGTGAGGGGTATTTAAATGTGGAAGTACTACCTCTGGTTCCCGTCGCTAAGCTGGAAGAGTGTTTGTGGAATATTTCTTGCAGTCACCTACTTCCAAGCTTCTTTAAAAGTGAGGTGTGTCTGTCTTTATGCTGGTCTTCGTGGCTTGGGCTGTTTAAATGAAGTCTTTCAGGCTGCAGAAGAAGTATTGGTGTGTTCAGTAGTACTGTATCACAACTAAAAAGGCCTCTCAGAGGAGAAGCAATTGGATGAAAACCAACCTGGTGGATGAGGAGCATTATGATTGTGGTAGTGGATATAATGTGACCAGTGTAGAGCAAGCTCCAGACTGTCTGCTCTTAGTTAGTCCAGAGTCTGGATAGTGTATCCTCTGCTAATAAAATTTATTCTTGTGTCTAAGCCTACATAATCACTTCAGTAATTTATCTGTTTATTTCCATACTGTAGTCAAGAGTTACTACCCTTTTGCCTGCCCTTTTAGTTCTTCACCACTCGCACGTTTAAGGCAGAATTGCACAGCTGGAGAATATACTGGAAGAAGAGGGAAGTTGTTTGCAAGGCTGTTAAATGATCTGAAAAACACTCCTTTAGGAACCATTTACCTCTAATTATTTGTATCAGCTGACAGCAATAACAAGCTGCTGTTGGGAGCATTTCTCTTGTAAGCTCTTTCAGCCTTGAATTGGCTGCTGCATAGATGACTTAACCATTGTAATGCTGATAATAATTGGTGGCACTGCACTTGGCTTCTGAATTTTTATACAGTGAAAAAAAATTATGATGAATGTTTGGTAAGCAGGGAGAGAATAATTTAATTATAAGAAAACACAGTTTTGAGAGTATGGACTTGATAGTTCTTGTAAAATCATCTTCTGATTTATTTGTTTAGGATGCTGAGGAGTTTCCTGATCTTGCAGCTGCTTCTGATAGGAGAAACAGACTAGGATCTCAGACACCGTCATTTAATCCTGGTGTCAGAAAGCAGTCTGAAGTAAGTAATCTTACGACATTATGTTAATGTTAAGAAAACAAGCAAGAAAAGACTGCAAGTTTTAAATGAGACTAAAGATGGAATTCTTTTGACTACATGTGGGTGCTTATGATGTGGATCTCTGCCCATGGCAATCCTCTTAGGTACTCTGTGGAGAGTGAAGAGCTACTCACTGTATTCAGTAGATTCACATCATTCCAAAGGAGATTTTGGTCTCTGAACTGCTGCCTAAACTCTGGGATCCTAATTCCAATATAGACACCTCTGTTGTGAACACTCGCGGTTAGTTGAGATGAGTTCTGTTTATGTACTTTATTTTCCTGCCGGTAGTGTTCTGGTTTAATTTTGAATTTCATAAAAATAATACTAAGACTTCCAATTTCTGCCTTTGCTGTTGAGGGCATCTGAACAGTGTAACACTTGTTCTCAAGCTGTGCAAGGGTAAGAATTTGAGTTTAACATCAGTTATAAATCCAAGCTTTTTTTTTCATGAGTGAAATGAATCCCAAGGAATTATTTGGAAATTC